TTAAATTTCAAATTTAAATAATGACAATTAGTACAAATCCGTTGGAAACCATCCCAGAAACCCGGTGTCACAAGTGCATGAGCGACCACTAATAAGTAAAATAAAATACAACATCTGTCCGGAATACAGTGGACAGGGAATAAATAATAAAAGTGCAGAAAGGAACTACACTAGCTGCGGGTCGCCTCGCAAATTGCAGCTCACCTAGTCCCAGAATTATCCATGCTGCTACGCCCAGTAGACTGCTAGAAGTATATATATACCTGTGCAACAAAAATGCACAGAAGTGTAGTATGAGTACGTAATCAACGTGTACTCAGTGAGTATCCCGCCTAATCCCGAAGGGGTAGAGACGAGATGGCCAACTTCGACACTCACTAGAGGTCAATAAACAATATTCTGTAAGTGCGAGAATAATCATGGACTTATATAGAAGTTCTAATTGTGAAGCCAGAAGGCAGGTAAACACCGTCAACAATAAAATCAAGGGCTNGCTAATCACGCTTAAAAATATGGAAGGTGATTTTTGCATGTGATTCTTTGAGAGAAAGAACCCTATTATTTGGTTTTTCAATTTTTGTTGGCTAGTTTTGGTAAGTCTATGATTAATGGCTAGAGGTTCGTAAGTTAAGATTTATTTGGGACATTTGTGTAAGTTACCCTTTTAAATATGTATTTTTATTAGGCCCACGGGATGCCCCAGCCCAGACTTAGTCAAGCCTCACAGGCCACAGGCTTACTCGGGCCGGGCTTAAAGCCTAATTTTTAAATGAGCTCCAAAAATTCTAGCCCAACCCAGCTAAATCACGGGCTGGGCTAGCCCAACGGGCCAAGCACATATTGGCGGCTCTACTTTTTCGTTTAATCTTTCGTGTATAAGCTACATTTGTACATAAATCATCTACCATATAAGTAAACGAAGAAATAGATAAATGTATGATCTATTTAAATCTTTATCAAGATTAAATAAATAATTATTATATAATAAATACTATATCTAAATAATTAATAGTATATATTCCAAAAATCTTCCACTTTATTTTTTAACCATGGCAATTATTAGAATATATTATATCTAACGCATGACTAATGGTATATACCTCAGTAAGCTCTCACTTATACTTTAACCATGACAATTGTTAAAATATACTATATCTAAATGTATGATTAATTGTATATACCTTAACATCGTCCACCGAATAGCTTAAACTAAAAAGAATATATAATCGTGTATAATCTATGTATACTGGTTAGGAAAGAAAACAATGTATCAAATTGCTTTTTCCTATACATTAAATATTTATTATGAAATTCAAGTTTTATATTCATCTCAGATGTAATTTCTTAGCAGAAATCATAGCAGTTGCACATTCTTCTTTTCTATATTTTGAAAAAAAAAAATAGATCTCTTAGTTGATCTACGGCAACATCAATATACATATTTTTTGATTGTAAACTTTTACCAAATGAATTAACAGCAAATGATGTATCATACCAAATAGTCATATACCCTATAAAAACTCAAAATTTTCAAGATCATATATTGCTAAATAATTAGCTTCACTTTTTTGGATCCTCATTGACTTCTACAAATGTCAGTAAAGCATCTCTTATTTATGGAGCTTCAAATCTTGTTGCTCTAATACTCGGCATCACAATTTGTGTGATGGTGTTTGACTGGGACAAAGTTTAAAAATGAAAGAAAAACTTTTGAAACTTATAGTAAAAAGATAATCCATTGAAATTTTTGTGGCCGTAAACCATCATAATTAAGGATTAGATGAAAAGGTTAAAGTTATATTATTAGGAAATATAGAAACTAGAAAGGTATCTTCATTTTGGGATTGACTAAAAAAAGAGTCACATAAATTGTAAGAGATTGAGTAAAACTTTTCACCTGAAGAAGAAAATATTGAAATATTAAATGTTGTACCACACCAATGAATAATATGGATGTACTATATGAATTAGCCATGCCATAAAGTACCAAATTTTTGGGATGAGATGCCCGAAGAGCGGAGGTGGAGTACAATAATCCGATTGTATAAGAACAAAGGTGATATCTAAAATTGTAACAACTATATGGGTATCAAGTTACTTAGTCATACTATGAAAGTTTGGGAGAGGGTGGTAGAGGCGGGTAAGGAAGATTATGTCTGTATCTGAAAATCAGTTCGGATTCATGCTAGGACGTTTGACTACGACAGCCATCCATCTTGTTAGGAAGTTGGTGGAGCAGTATAGGAAAGGAAGAATGATTTGCATATAGTGTTTATTGACCTAGAGAAAGCATACGACGAGGTCCCTAGGGAGGTTCTTTGGAGATGTTTGGAGGCTAAAAGTGTTCCTGTCGTGTATTAGGGTGATTAAAGACATGTATGATAGGGCTAAAACTCGGATGAGGACAGTGGGAGGAGACTCGAATGATTTTCTGGTTATGATGGGGTTACACCAAGGATCTGCGCTTAGCCTATTTTTATTTGGCGATAGACGCATTAACGCGCCATATTCAAGGGGAGGTGCCACGGTGTATACTATTTGCAGATGATATAGTATTGATTGATGAGACGCGAGGCGATGTCAATGACAACCTGAAGGTTTGGAGACAGACCCTAGAGTCTAAAGGGTTCAAAATAAGCAGAACTAAGACATAATACTTGGAGTAAGTTCAGTGACGCGACGGAGAGAGAGGACATGAACGTGAGGCTCGATTCACAAGTCATCCCCTAGAGAGCAAGTTACAAGTATCTTGGGTCTGTTATCCAAGGAACTGGGAAGATCGACAATGATGTCACACGTCGTCTAGGGGCGGGGTGGATGAAATGGAGGTTAGCATCCGGCATCTTCTATGACAAGAATATACCACCAAAACTTAAAGGTAAGTTCTACAGAGTGGTGGATAAACCGACTATGTTGTATAGGGCAGAGTGCTGGCCAGTCAAGAACTCCCGTATCTAGAAGATAAAAGTAGTAGAAATGAGGATGTTAAGATGGACGTGCAGTCATACTAGGTTTGATAGGATTAGGAATGAAGATATCTGGGTTAAAGTGGGCGTGACTCCCATAGAGGACAAGATACGAGTTGCACATGTAGAATGCTCATGTTTATTGTCCTTTACTGATGTCCGAGGAATATTTTTGATGCATAAATGTATCTTCATACACATTTTCATCTCTTAATTACGCTATTTTCGCTTAAAAAACCTACTAATTGTGATTGATTTTTTGGCAAACTACAGGAATATCAAGCCAAAGAGTATTCTACATGGTTAGGGGTGGCAAAATGGTTAAAAGAAAACAGTTAACTACCCATATTATCCATTAAAAAATGGGCTGGATAATGAACTTTTTAAAAACGGGTCAAATATGGATAAGAACCATATTATCCATTTAGAAAATGGATAACCAATGAGTAACCAATGGATAACCAATGGGTCTAACTTATACATTTTTAAAGCCTCAAATTAGGGGTTCCTCAAGTTAGGGAGACTAAGAATTCTCCCAAAAGTGATCATATATATACAAGAAGTCATGGATAATATGGGTTACCCATATTATCCACTGGCTAACCCGTTTTTTATCCGAATTAAATATGGGTCGGGTCGGATAATTGATCCGTTTTTTCATTACCCGTATTCGACGGAGAAATTCAAAAATAGCCAGATTTACCACTGGTTGTTGAAAAATAGCCAAGTTTCAAAAGTCATCAAATTTAGCCACTTTAAATCTGAGCGAAAACACTGTTCAAAATCCGGAAAAATACGCCCGCAAATTTTACGGGAGTTCCAGCATAAGTATGCTTGAACTCCCGTAAATTTTACGGGAGTTCCAGGATAACTATGTTGGAACTCCCGCAAATTTTACGGGAGTTCAAGCATAATTATGCTGGAACTCCCGCAAATTTTACGGGAGTTCCAGCAAGTATAATTGTCCAGTATAATATACTGGAGTTTGGAGCACTGGTGCTCCTGGACCGGTCCCTGTTGCAGCAAAATAGTGGCTATTTTTCATTGACTTGATAAACGCTGGCTATTTTTCATCGACCAGTGTGAAAACTGGCTATACCATGATATTTTAACCGTTTTCGATCCGAACCATATCCGACTCGACCCGCCCGTTTGCCACTCCTATACATGATGCAACTCGCGCTATCAACTACGTCAGTGAAATATGTTTGATCGGTACACTTCGAAGATTATAAGCCAAAGAGTATTCTAAATAGTTTGCAAACGAAGGTTAAAGATGAGCCATTTGAAGACCATAAGGATATTGTTGAGGCTTTTCCCTATTTTCAATATCAACGTGCAGGTCTCACACTATGGGTCCCACACAACTAAGCAATCAATTGGTTGGGGGCCTGATGCAAGAATCACGTGGCCGTAGGTGTACCAACGGCGAAATTACACTTGTCTACTAGCGCTTCACTTCCATGGTTTTACCGGTGGATAACCACAAATGTCCTTGTCTTTTTTTGTTTTTCCTTGTATTACATCCTTGTCAATTGTTTGAATGTTGAATTTATGAAGAGTTAATTTAATCAACTTACAAATATATTGAAAATTACCACTTTTGTGTAAAGTTTTTCGGTAAATATTAGTTAAGATGAAACAATATCATATTTTAATATGTTAAAAAGAATATCATATTTTTATATAAACTCTAAAAAAATATGCTTTAGCATATTGTATAATTTTTAACTAGCTTTTCATTTTAATTTTAATATTTTAATTTTACTTTCAATGACATTCCGTTATAGAAATAGTATTACATGTTTAAGACCGTAATTTTAAAAAAAATATTTTTAACTTAAGATATTAAGATTCTAAACTATTATTATATTTTTAAAATTCATATTCAATCAAATAGATACAAAAAGGAGGGAGTAAATGAGAAAATGTCATCAAATTCGGAATATTACTTTAATTTCCAATTTTAACAAAACAAAACCAGTACTAATGTTATTACTAATAACATAACAAAACTACCTCTATCTTCTCATTTCATTTCATTTACAAACTGCTGGAGTAGTATTAATTATTTATCTCCACCATTAGATCTCAGTTCCATTTCTCTACGGTCCACCTCTATCACTCTCTCCTCTATTCTCTTGGCTCTGTCTTGGATTCAGAAGCAGAAAAGGTACTTACCTTTTTCTTACAGATCCATTCTCCAATCTTGGATTTTTCACCTTTCCATTTAGTTAACGCAATTTACAACCCTTCGATCTCACTACGACACATCTCTACACAATCCACTGCCTTTGACTTTACTCATAATAGTTTCAATTGTATATATCTCCTAATTGCTCTGTTTTATTACTGTTGATATCTCTGTTTGTTACTGCCCTAGCTTTCTAGGCCTTTGGCTCACGCTTTATGTATAGTTGAAAATTTATCTATACTAAATAGTGAGTGTGGTAATAATTAATATTTAGCACCTGCTGCTCATTTAAATTTTTGTACCCGTCTCTGCTGCTCAGCTTGGCATTTTGATGCTTTCTTGTTTATGTAATGAGATTTGATCTGATGATCAATTGTAAAGTGATTTATCAGTACTTGCGGGAATAGGATGTTGCTTCATTTTCTTTGTTTGTTAATTTTCAGGTTAAAATATGGCCGCGGAAAACAACAATATTGACATGGAGGAGGGAACCCTGGAGGTTGGAATGGGTATGTTTATTTCTTCTTCTTGGCTCGCCTTCTGTTCAGAGGCGGATTCAGGATTTGAGGTTTATAGGTTCCTACCGGAATTTCAAATTAATATGCAATAATAATCGTGTTCACATTTAGATATTTACAAATATTTAGTTAATTTCTTAATATAAATACATGGTCTAGCCAAGAGTTACTGGGTTCCCGGGAAACCATAGTCAATTCTCTAGGTCCGCCCCTGCTTCTGTTTGCTAGAGGCTTATTTGACATGTTCCACTTATGGTATGCAGATGTGGTAGTTCTTTTTTCTTAAGTAACAAGTCTTGGAAATGAGTCCTTAAACCCGTGTTAGCACTTTTTCAAATGAATCAAGGAATTCTAGGAAGACTGAATTGATGAATAGGCGATTCTAAATAAAAATATGTGGTGCGGGTTCATTATGATTGCAATGATCTTCAATTATAACTAGAGCTGAGTTACACATGCTATATTGAACTAGGACTAACGAGATGAATGTCTCACTTGTGGTCCTAGTTAGTTTGTAGATTTAAGAATTAGAGTGTTCCCCAGGTGGCAGAGAACTGTTTTCAAAGCCCGTGTGATGCCTTCTGCCGATGATTGGGCATGAACACGTATCAGCAGTTGAAACGCTGATGGCAGTAGACCTTTTTTCCCTTATAGTTTCAGTAGGTATTAGGATTTGATGGGTATACTTAATAACTCTAGGACTCTTGAGAATATGTTGTTTGGTTTTATCCGCCCAGCAACTGAAGACTGAAATAAATATATCAAAATTTTGCTGTACCTTCTGTCTATACACTACAAGGAGGATATTCCTACTTTTTGAGGTTTCAGGATTCAATATATCCATTGTCATATCCATTTTCAGTAACATGGCAATCTTGTGGATCATCACATATAAGTCCACATCTTTTCTGGTTTTTTGGTAGTTTCTACTCAATCTAAAATCAAAATTTACTAAACTTGTCATTCTTATCAAAAAAAAGAAAGAAAAAACTTATTCAACTTGTCATTTGTCTAAGATAAAAACTGCTGACTTCCAATACTATGTACAATTGCAGAATATAGAACTGTCTCAGGTGTTGCTGGACCACTTGTTATTCTCGACAAAGTTAAGGTAATCCTTGTACACTTTGCTATACATTTTTATTATTTCTTAAATTTGATGTTGTTTATTGTTGCATGTTTCTGTTAATGCTTTAGAATAATGTGTGTGTATATAATCTCTTGTCAGGGACCCAAGTACCAGGAGATTGTTAACATTCGTTTGGGAGATGGAACAACAAGACGTGGACAAGTTCTGGAAGTTGATGGGGAAAAAGCTGTTGTTCAGGTAGGTTATCTTTTGGCATCACTCTTTGCTTGATATAATTGTTTGGAATTTTCAAATATGTATCATCTACTTTAACTTTTAATATTCACCAATTTTTCCGTAATTCAATCTGCTTATGGGATGGTTATTTTCCCTTTTTCTAACCAGGTTTTTGAAGGAACATCTGGAATTGACAACAAATACACAACTGTGCAGTTTACCGGGGAGGTATAGTGTAGCTCATATTTGCTCTAACTTCATTGCATAGAACCCAAAAACGTATATCACTGGTACCTAAGTTCCATGAATTGGTTTCGTAATCCATAGATAAACCATGGTCTGGAAATACATGTTTGCTCCCTTACTTTAGCCTTCAATCTTTTCTTGCATTTTGCCTTTTATCTTTTTAAAAAAAAACCTAACTCTTGTTATGTAGCACGTGAAATGCTCATATGAAGTTTATCAATAAACTTGAGAATTTAAGCATGTAACCATTCTCTATTTGCATGTAAAGAAAAAGTCTCAGAGATGGCTTCTATATGAATAAAAACTTTTAGTTTATTAGTCATGTTTCTGGTAGATGATGTGCTGTTTTATGCTTCATTTGTTTTAACATTTGTACTGTTGTCTAAGAGCGCTCTTGGTAATATGTTTGCAGGTGCTTAAAACACCGGTCTCACTAGATATGCTTGGACGTATCTTCAATGGTTCAGGGAAGCCCATTGACAATGGTCCTCCAATTTTACCCGAGGCTTACAGAGATATTTCTGGCAAGTGCTGAGCTCTAATATGACCTAATTCGGATGTTCTTGTGATTCTCCACTAATATTATGCTAATGCCAATCTTAGGGAGTTCTATCAACCCTAGTGAGAGAACCTATCCTGAAGAGATGATTCAAACAGGAATTTCAACAATTGATGTCATGAATTCAATTGCTAGAGGACAAAAAATCCCTCTTTTCTCTGCTGCCGGTCTTCCCCATAATGAAATTGCAGCCCAGATCTGTCGTCAGGCTGGTTTGGTGAAGAGGTTGGAGAAATCTGAAAATCTTCTTGAGGTACGTAGTATTGCATGATGATTATATTTCAAATGCCTAAAATGCTGATATGGAAGTCTGTTGCATTGCTTAAAAAGGTCTTAAGCATTTGGCTGCCTCTCTAAGATATCAAAGCATGTTTTGAGATTTGACTAGTATCTTAATAATCTTACTACTGCCATTTGACATGGTAGCCTTATATTTACTGCATTGAAGACAGACATAAACAAAATAGATTTCTGCATTTATTTTTTCTTTTTTCTTTTGGTCTTCTGAGGAAGTTCATTAACATATAATCCTTGAAACAGCCTCCTTTTTTTGTCCTAACCGACTTTAGTTCACCCTTTTGCGGATTAGGTACAGAGGGTTGGTTCATTGTCTATTCCTTCTTTTAGGCCACCAGCAAATAGCTGGTAGGCACATTTCATCATCCATTTTCGTTTATTCGTGGTGATTCAATTGTATTTATATTGATATAAATCTTACTTTTGTACTTGATGCTACAGGGTGGTGAAGACGACAACTTTGCCATAGTTTTTGCAGCTATGGGAGTCAACATGGAAACAGCTCAATTTTTCAAACGTGATTTTGAGGAAAATGGATCCATGGAGAGAGTGACACTTTTCTTAAACCTGGTAATTCTTGCAATTTTAACATGGATCAATAAATTATATTTACACCCCTTCAGTTAATAAAATGATTGCACTTCTTTAACCTGAAGCTCAATCTGATCTATTATGCCATACTTCTTGCAGGCCAACGATCCCACAATTGAACGTATTATTACTCCCAGGATTGCCCTTACAACTGCCGAATATTTAGCATATGAATGTGGCAAGCATGTTCTTGTGATTCTAACTGATATGAGTTCATATGCTGATGCTCTTCGTGAGGTATTCTTCAATAAGTGCATCTGCATCTTTTTTATTTTGTATTCTTATGATTTGGTCTAATTTGATCATCATTAAATCTTAAGATCAATACCCATGGGTTAAGTGATGTTGCAAGTATTCTAAGCTTTCTTTAAGACTACTGGCACCATATAACTACATATCCTATTACAGGTATCTGCTGCCCGAGAAGAAGTGCCTGGAAGGCGTGGATATCCCGGTTATATGTATACTGACCTTGCAACCATTTATGAACGAGCTGGACGTATCGAGGGACGGACGGGATCTATCACACAGATTCCAATTCTGACCATGCCTAATGATGGTAACAAACGGCTAGCCATATATTTTGGATATTATTTCTGCTTCTGCTTGATTTTTCTTCTTATTGATCAATTTCTATCTTATGTTGTATGGACAGATATTACACACCCAACTCCAGATCTTACTGGATATATCACTGAAGGACAAATATATATTGACCGACAACTCCATAACCGGCAGGTATATTATGGAACTCTCGGACTGAGTACATATTCACACCAGCAAAGGGGCATAATACTTCATGTTATAAGAGATCTAAGTAATGAATGAGCAACCAATCAAATTGAAGCAGTGGTACTTTAGGTTCTTTTAACTAAAAGAAGAAGGGGTACTGTAAATTCTTTGCGTTCTCGATCCGTTTCTCTTGCTGGCAATGGGGAAGTATTTCATGCTAATCAGATTTTAAGTCCAGATCATCTCAATCAGGTGGCGTATAAACTGAAATGACTATTTGATAAACTGGATAATCAAGTAGGAAGAGAAAGCATCATCAAAATTCGCTTGTCCTTTTTGTGCGTGCGCATTTGGGAGGGAAATTCCATTGTCATGTCTTTTTTCGGTCTCCTCATTCTATGCTAACTTATAGAAAGACCCTCCAAACATTTTCTGGTGATTCTAAGAGTTATTCCTTTTTCTTTTGATGTTGAGTCACTGCATGATATTCTTTCTCATTTATCATAATTTCAAGTTGTTTGCGTACTTCATAAATCATGCCGCATACGCTGAAAATAGATTGAAGGAAAGATAGCTTTTCGGTTTTTCTATTTTAAATCCATTTCCTGAATCAACTTAACAGGCTGACTTCCATGCCTAGGTTAGCTTACAGTTACCTTGGAAGGCGAACACTGTTTCTGCTTTTTCTGCTATGAACTTTCTGAATATTATTCAAATAAGCTTTTGCATAATTCCTTTTTTCGTCTAGGTTGTTTTATGGTATTATGTTAGTGATAAGTTGTGCACTAATAAGAAATAATATTTCTATTATGCATTTATGCATCACCTTACACCTTTATGAATTGCATGGCACCATATCTTGAAACTTAGGTTACTTTCCGGTTGGACTTGGGGATGAATTTCACTAAATGACCAGTAGGATCTAAAGCAATTATGATTTTTTCTTCTGGGAAAAATGATAATAATAAAAAGATTTATGATACTTGTATGATTATGCTAAGGCCCTATAGTGACAAGTTTTTTTTTATCTTAGATGAAGCCCTACAGTTACCACTTACCAGATTTTGCTTATCCATTCCATGAAGGCCTTAGTGCCATAAACTTCATCAGATATTTGGACTTACCCAACAGTTTCATTCTTGCATTTTATATCTGAACAAAATATGTTTTATATGTGTTTTGCACATACTGCCTGGAAATGTGTTTAATAGAATGACATATAGCATAGGAATCCTGTTTTAACATATCATCTGCCAATTGAAAAGAATGTTGCAAAAGTAAAACCAAACACATTCAACTATATTTGGATTCTTGGAAAATTAAGGAAGTTCCACTTTATAGTATTACTAGTCAAAAACACATCCACGAAACACTCCATTGGTTTGTAATATTTCTATTTGCATATTTGGAATTGTGTCACATTTACAATTCAATTGTGGACAATTTCATTTAACATGTATTCCACACATGGAATATCTATGATGTCTTGACTCCTGAGTCACTGTAAGCATTCTGTTGCTTGCTGAGTCGAGTATTTCTTGAATTCGGCTGTGTCACAGCAACAGAAGGTTGCCTTTTTGTGATTAGCTACTGTTGAAGCTTTTATGACTGTGGATGGGTTGAATGTGTTTACTCCTTTAAAGGCATTGGGCTTTTGAAGAAAAATGTCTAAAACATTTTTTTTTCATTGTCTGAACTGTAACAGATATACCCACCAATCAATGTACTTCCATCCCTGTCTCGGTTGATGAAGGTGAGCATTCGGATCCTTTTGTTTTCAGTCCATCTAGATGCTTTTGACTAATTGATATTAGGACGACTAACCCTTAAAACTTTTTCAGAGTGCCATTGGTGAGGGTATGACTAGGAGGGATCATTCTGATGTATCCAACCAGGTAAGATCAACTTTCGGAAAGCATGTTTTTTGCTGTTCCCTTTCATTTTCATTTCTTCAGGCAGACTTGATACATTTTTACTTTGTTTGCAATTGATGGCTTAATGTGTGTGTTCTTTCTCCTTTTTCTTTTTGCATTAACTTCTAAAAAAATTCAGCTGTATGCAAATTATGCCATTGGAAAGGACGTCCAGGCAATGAAAGCTGTTGTCGGAGAAGAAGCACTTTCTTCTGAGGACTTGGTAATTTGACTGAGAAAAATATTTGAATTAGTTTACCTGTGTTTTGGCGGGGGTTATCATCAAGTCAAGATTACTAATAGTCTTCCTATAAATGAAACAGCTGTATTTGGAGTTTCTTGACAAATTTGAGCGGAAATTTGTCGCTCAAGGAGCCTATGACACACGCAACATATTCCAGTCACTTGATTTAGCATGGACACTCCTTCGCATCTTCCCTCGTGAGCTACTTCATCGTATCCCAGCAAAGACCCTAGATCAGTATTACAGCCGCGATGCATCTAATTGATAAAAAGGGATGCCAATGGGAAGGACGAGCTTTGTACTTTCGTCTGTGTAATTGCCTTGGTACGAGCTTTGACAATACACTATTTTTTGTGCGGTCTGTTGTGTATCTCCTTTCATCTCAATAATAAAAGCCCTCTCCAATGAGTTCCAAACCAAGGCTCTTCAGCATTTTGAAAGACATTGATATTCTTTTGAGAACCAATTAAACCGTGTAATCTAGTGTGTTGTTTTAGCCAAAAGTATTGCAAGGTTTGGTTTATTTACTAAATTTCAGTAATAGTAGGCGCTTGTAGGAATTACAAAGCCTTGTCATATAGTTTCTGTTTTTTTTTTTTTTAAATTACTCTATGGCGTGTAAGCTGATTCTTTTGGATTATTGGTGAATAATGCTGCTTCCTTGTAAGGTTTCTCTGGAAAACTGGAAACTATGAGATTTAGGATATTTCACAACTTGTTTGTTGATATATTTTCTCCAAAAGTACTTTTTCGAAAAGCATTTTTGAAAAAAAAAAAAAAAAAAAACCTCTGCAAAATTAGCGGATTTTAGAAGTTTGGCCAAATAAGCGAATCAAATAATTGGCTTACTGGTGCATTTTAAATCTTGCATGGGAAAGCGCTTTGCACTGGACACTTGTTTGTGGTATCAGTTGTTAACATTACAATTTCCTGCAAACTGACAGACTTTTCCCTTAAACTTCCATCTGGGTAAAACCTTTAATAGCTGAAGAAAATTAAAGTGAGATAGGATAAACTTCTCTAATCTTTAATTACATAATAAAATCACTTCAGTGGTGTCCAAACCCAGACCCCAACCCCTCGACTAGTCGACTGTACCTGATTAAAAAGGAGAGAATCACTTTGTGGGGAAATTAAAGTGGAGAATCATGGGTCAAGGGAAATTAAAGTTAGTATAGGTTCAGCTTTCTCCCAGCCTGTTTCTGCCAACCCTGCATACTTCCACCAAGCTCGTAGCTTTCCATAAACATTATATTTTGCTAAAAGATAAAGTTAGAAACTTTTTGAATTACAATGCTAACTTCTTGGAATTATAAAATCAGCGGTGTTAAAAGCATGTGTTGTATCATAGAGTATGGCCTAATATCAACAAAGTGGGTGCAATCTTAATATTAGGGTTCAAATTATAGTTGAGATAAAAAATACTTTATATCAAATTTTAGAATGCATAATATTATGTTGGTGAGAGTTAGTATGTATATGAGAAGGATAATTAAAGTGCACATGACGAGCATATTATTTATTTTCACATTTTGAAAGTTTTAGTTTTGTACTTGAAAGATCATCTACTTTCAAAAAATAGCTTTCCTAATCATGTCACATAAGTATAAATTATAATTTAATTTTTCCTATTCTATATTTAGAAGTATTTTTCAAAAAAGGGTCGAAACGCGAGGAAAAAGGGAGAAATGGGACTGGTCGAACAAAGCAAAAGTGGCACCTCCAGAGTACAGTAGTATCCACCATCCACCGCTAAATGTCTGAATAGCCAATGATTGATTCATTTGGTGCTGGGTCCACACACCACTTACACTGCATCCGTACACACCAGATCCATATTCGCTCCAAACCCCCCTTCTTCTTCTTCTTCTTCTTTTAAACATTAAACACACACATTCGTCGTCATCGGCCCCTCCTTTTGTCTCCCGTTCACAACTTGTCCGAAATTCCAAGTATTCTCCAATCTTCTTTGTTCTTGTTCTAGAAACTTCTATGGCGGCGACGGCGAGTTCAACATGGCAGCCGCAGGAGGAAGGGTTCAAAGAGATCTGTGGATTATTGGAGCAACAAATGTCACCTGCTACTTCTGATAAGTCTCAGATTTGGCAACAACTTCAGCACTACTCTCACTTCCCTGATTTCAATAACTATCTCACTTTTATCTTCGCCCGTGCTGAGGTCATTCTTCATCACTCTTTTTCACTCTCCCTATTAGTTGCTGACAATTTCATTTTATTTTGCAGATTATGCAACTTCTAGTTTTAGAGAACTCGTAATTGACTTAATTTGTTTAGTAGTTGATTGAAATGTGCCTCGAATAGAGTGGATTAATTATGTAGGATTTATGTAGCTGATTCATTATCTTAGTTTTTGCTTTAGTTTTTAGTTTCCATTAATACATGATTTTACTCAATGGAAGAAATGTATATATAAAATTGGACGAATTATAAGTGGCTAGGATTTCCTTAGAACAGAAGTGGTCCAAATTTTGGTCCGAGTTTGGTATGACTTTTTATTTTATTTTTAAAAGCTGCTATCTTCAAGCAGTGTTCACTGAACAATCTGGTTGGTCCTTGCAACAGGGGAAGTCAGTCGACATTCGGCAAGCAGCTGGGTTGCTTTTAAAAAATAACCTGAGAGCTGCATTCAAAAACATGCCTCTCGCCAACCAGCAATACATAAAATCAGAGTTGTTACCTTCTCTAGGGGCGACAGATAGGCACATAAGGTCTACAGCTGGAACCATTATAAGTGTTCTTGTACAAATAGAGGGATTTGCTGGATGGCCGGAGTTGCTGCATGCTCTTGTCAGTGGCTTGGACAGTAACGACAGTAATCACATGGAGGGTGGCATGGATGCTTTATCCAAGGTATGAGCTTCTAGTGCTTACTACATCAGCATAGTATGTGGGGCGTATCGTTGTCCCATAGGGTACCGTTTAATTCATGGTTCTGATATCTAAACAGCTGGATGATTATAGGAGAAGCGAACTACTTTCTCTGTAATGTGGTTAGTAAATTAAGATCCCATGATTGCTATATTCTCCACCCGATGGTTATTGCAAGGACAATCATTTTTGTCTTTCTTGTGGATTGTCATTCAAATATAATGTGAACTGGAACTACTATTGGTAGAAACTGTTGTAGTAGTACATGATTCAGACCTTCCGTTCGTGAAAATAACAGAAAATTGGCATGCTAAAGATCTTGTTAAATGCAGATATGCGAGGATGTGCCAAGTCTTCTTGATTCGGATATACCTGGATTATCTGAACGACCAATAACTATTCTCCTTCCAAGGCTTCTCCAGGTGAGATAGTTTCCCCCCTTCCTTTTGTCCACTTTCTTTCTAATGTTTATTTGTTTTATTTAATGCTGCACTCTTAGTATCTTCTCTGACGAGATCTGTCTGCAAACAGCTTTTCCAGTCACCTCATGCTTCTCTCAGAAAGCTTTCATTGAGTTCTGTGAATCAATTTATTATGCTGATGCCTACAGTAAGTACCACTTTGTTGACCTCTCCAGCTGTTGCCCTTTATCCTGTTCCTTTTGTGCCATTTTCACTTCCATGTTGTTGTAGGTTTTACTTTTATCTATGGATAAATATCTTCAAGGGTTGTTTCTTCTTGCCAATGACCCTGCTCCAGATGTGCGGAAGTTGGTAAGGAATTGCTGTGAACTCTGATAATTTTTATGCGTGCCCTCTCCTTACCTACAGAAAACTTGTATTTCATAACGTTCTTATGTATCCACTTTGTGGAACTCCGCTTATGCGATAATGAGTTACAGTTTGAGTAAGTGAAAACTTCTGCCTTGTACTTAGTTTTCTTGTTTTTTAAACAGGTTTGTATGGCATTTGTTCAACTGGTTGAAGTTCGTCCTGCATTTTTGGAGGTCAACATTTTTCCCCTTTCAAAATTTGGTTTGAGGCCTCTTATTGGTCATATTTGCTTTTGTTTTGTATATGGGGAATGGTTCCGAGGGACCAAAAAATGCTCTAAATAGGCAGAAAATAGTTTGAAGAAATTAACATTCAACTGTAAGTGTATTGGGATTAATATTTTAATTATTTTGGTTTAATTTCTGGTTGTCGGATTTTCGAGCGGATGGTTACAAGATTCAATTGTTATATATGCCCTGTTGGAAGTTCAATCCCTTACTAGACGTCAGATCTGCTGGTTCAATTTTATTATTCTGTTTTATCACGTAGATCATGCCATTCGCTGCTTTATTGAAAAATGAATCCAGTCTGTTAACTTAAGTCGACTTGTCTGTACAGAATATGGAAAGATATATTCCTCCTTTTGCCTGTTCTTGATGTTCTGGTTTTTTCATGCAGCCTCACTTGAGAAATGTCATAGAATATATTTTGCAAGTCAACAAGGATCCCGATGATGAGGTGGCACTTGAAGCCTGTGAGTTCTGGTAATGTACTACTTCCTCTGCTTCTTGTATAGATATTGATGTCGCTCAGTGCATCTTAATTCTGTGGAAGGAGGAAATCATTAATTTGCTTGAGATGATCTAGTAATTAGATTAGATAGCATCAACAATCATTAATATCAAAAACTTATACCTTTTCCTTTAATTTTTCTTTTGTAATAACTCAATTTTGTACTCATTAAGATGGAGTACCATGTTAATGAATATTCTACAACAACAACAAAAAATCCAGTGCAATATTAATGAATATAATAAGTTCTAAAAATTACATAAATATTATACATAAATATGGTTGAGTTATAGAATAAAGGGAGAAGGTCCAAAATTACCCCTCTACTATGGTATATTGTTTACTTCTGCCACCCGTTATACTTTTCGTCCAAATCTATCCCTACCGTTAACAAAGTTTGCATAATTGCCCCTAACCCTAACGGATCTACACTGTGGCAGCTGACCCCTTCAATTTTCTCCATATCAGCTGCCAAGTCAGCAGGTCCCACCCAACCCCTCTAATATTCTGCATTTGAATAATTGACCAAAAAAAGTTCCCATTTCCTTACCCCAGCCCCTAAAAATGAAATCCTTCCCCAACACTTTTTCGTTTTTTTTTCCATTCTTTCCCTTTCTTTTCCATTGCAGAGATTATACCTCCACTAAAATGAAACCTAGTCTTCTTCTCCCATTAACAAATCATCATTGTTGAAAATTAGGGTTCATCAAAAATCATAATTGAAGACCTTCAATATGTCAAACAATGGTGTTCTCCAATATTGGCTTTTGAAACCCACTATGGTATATTCTTTGGGTGTCTAAAAGTTCGAATTCCACTAAGATTAGTTGATTATTTATGGAGGAGATCGACTGGTTTTTTTCGTTTTGAGTTTAAAGACGAGAATCAAACACTGATTTCGTGGATTTGAGTAAAAAAATACTTGAACTATATTTTTTTGGTCGTCGAAATTCAAAGCTGGAAAAAGACTCAAGATCCTGAAATTTCTTGCTTCTTTTATACTGAAATCTAGTGGAGAAAACAAAATTTGGATCTTAAAAAGGAAAGAATAACACTGGTGTTCAAAAATTTGAAAAAAAAAAACGAAAATCACCATTGAAGGAGCTGTAAGAGAGCTCAAAAACATAAGATGGGTATTCTGATTTGCTGAAGTTTGAGCCAACTGTTTTGGAGTTTGTTGGGAATATTCATGTGGAGAAGTTGTGGACGATCTGAGTCTGTTTGGTTATAAATTTTGTTTGGATCGAAATATTTGAAGCAAAGATGAAGAAGCATTGAGCAAGAAGAAGAAGCAACCTTTTTGGGGATTTTTTTAATTTGCTGATTAAGTAAATAAGTGTAATAAATAAAATATATTTTTAAATAGTGACATGGACTCTTACGTGGCACTTCAATAAATGCAATAACTAAGATATTATTAAAAGTGGTGATATGGACTCCACCTTGGTATTTTATTTGGTGGGGACCTGCTGACTTGGCAGCTGACATGGAGAAAATTGAAAGGGTCAGCTGCCACAGTGTAGATCCGTTAGGGTTAGGGGCAATTATGCAAACTTTGTTGACGATAGGGATAGATTTGGACGAAAAGTATAACGGGTGGCAGAAGTAAACAATACACCATAGTAGAGGGGCAATTTTGGACCTTTTCCCTAGAATAAAAGTTAAATAAAAAAGTATAAATTTCTAAACATAATGATTGTTGATCTTTTTTAGTTAAATGGAAAACAATCTCGTTTGCCTCTTTAGTACAATTATTTGCTTTGTCATGAAATCAAAAAGTCATATTTACTGGTTACTTTGTCGCATAACTGATTTAGAGAATTATATGCTTCAGTTGTTACTTGTGTGGGAAGGCAATTAAGAGAATGTTACCTGCATCCATACAGTTCTAATGATTTTTTGGCAAATAGGATTTTATTTGCTTTGGTTTATGAAGACATCATATTTATTTTACATATTTGAAATAAAGAAATGACCAATATAAGCTAAAATCTTAATTGATTTTAAAGTTTAAAATATAGGCGTTCCTACATATTTCAAATAAGAAAAGACTTGGTAATCAAATTTTTAGTTGCTTCACCTGTTTCGTGATACTACAATAATAACAACAACATACCCAGTTTTATCCCACACTGTGGGGTTTGGGGAGGGTAGTGTGTATGCATACCTTACCCCTACCTTGTGAGGATAGAGAGGCTGTTTCCAATAGACCCTCGGCTCAGCTCAGGAAAGCATAAGCACCACATTAATGAATCATGTGAGGAGGAGGAGCACAGACGCCCCGGTGAGGAGGTGTGAGAGGTTGATATTGGAGGGCCAACGAAGAGCTAGAGTTAGGTCAAAGAAGAGGAGGGGAGAGGTGATTGGGCAAGACATGGCGCAGCTTCAGCTGACCGAGGACATGACCCTTGATGGGAAAATATTGAGGTCGAGGATTAGGGTAGTAGAGTAGGTAGTCTAGAGTGTTCATAACAGTAGTATTCGCACGCAGTCTCGCTTTCTGTTGGTAGTAGGTTTTTATGATTAACCGTTATTTTCTTTCATTATTGATCACCTTACTGTCTTGTCCCTAATAGGGGCCACACCCACCTTGTCGCGAATAACCTCATTTCTAATCCTATCTAATCTGGTGTGCCCACACGTCCATCTCAACATCCTCACCTCTGCTACCTTCATCTTCTAGACATGAGCAATCTTGACTGGCCAGCACTCAGCCCCATACAACATCGTTGGTCTGACCACCTCTCTGTAGAACTTACCCTTAAGTTTCGGTGGCACTTTCTTGTCACACAAAATACCGGAAGCCAGTCTCCTTTTCATCCATCCCGCCCCAATACGATGTGTGACATCTTCATCAATCTCCCCATCCCTCTGAATAATAGACCCAAGGTCACCTGCTTCGTTATAAGGAAATAATTTTTTGTTGATTCAAAATCTTAATATTAGCTCATCCAAAATTGTAAATATTTTGTTATAAAGTGTTTAGCTCAATTTTATATTTATGATTTGATGTATAACATGTCTTCATATGATTATTTGCTAAACGCAATTTTTTAGTGTTTGTTTGAAAATACGATTAATTGTCCAAACAAAAATATTCAATAAAGCTAATAGGTAAATATACATTATACATTAACATTTGCCTTTCAAGAGAAGAGATAATCTTGGATCTTCAAATTTGAAATTACAAACTACTCCACTTCATAAGAGTTTTTAATTTTCAGCAGGCAAATATTAAAATAAAAATAGTCCATGTTATGCTATATATATATATATATATATATATATATATATATATATATATATATATATATATATATATATATATATATATATATATATAGATAGATAGATAGATAGAGAGAGAGAGACGAAAACTAATATTCATGATTTGGTACCTTTGACTTTACATGTTGTCTTTGTGGTGAGATTTAACACAAGCATGTTTTGGTAGCCTAAACAACAAAAACAACGTCTGCTCAGTTATCTGATAACTGGTTGTCCATCTGCCTGAACGCATCCAATAACAGATTTTGTCACATCACACCTAAACAACCTCTCTCCCGTTAGGGGTAAGATCTGCGTACACACTACCCGCCCCAGACCCCACCTTGTAGGATCACACTGGGTTTTTGGTTGTTGTTTTACACTTCTGCATGTTTAAATTGTTGAAATGATATCACCTATTACGTCTGCCCTATTTTATGAGGTCATTTAGCTTGCACGGGGATAAATGGAAGAAGTTGGACTGGATGATTTTATTAGATTAACAGTCAGTAGGATAACAATAGATGGGATGTATGATTTTGTGGTGGTTTGTGTCATCCCAGGCTAATATGAGATAGTGCATATGGACTTATCCAAACAAGAAATCCATGTTGGAAAAATTCGAACTGTTTCAGGATAAAAGAGAGGGAAAATATCCCAATTATATGGCATGGGAAACAGGAAGAGCGTTAATAGAAGAACAAAAAATTAGAAAGAAAAAGCTGTTAAGACAAACATTAAGGACTATAAGTAGCCAAGAATATGCTTCCCCTTAGATGAGCAAGGGAAGGAACATGGGAATTGGATAGATTTCCTGGTAGAAAGAGAATTGGATCTTTTGATATCTTGCACGTTATTAGGTTATAGAATTTATGCAGGAAGAAAAAATGCAGACAATTAACATATAGGCTCTGTTATAGGGCAGCAGTATGATAGATGAAACACCTATATTGAAATCGGATGGTCGAATGAAGGGAATTTATTGGAGCTACAGCCGTAGAAAGTTATTTACTTAAGTGAAAAGTAAGCTTTCTAGAACAGTTGTGAGACCACCAGTGTTATATGGTAGTGAATGCTGATCTTGAAGTCCAACATATCCAGAATAATTGTTACCAAATTTTGGATGTTAAGATGGATGTGCGGTGATCACGCCCAACTATGCCTTATAAAAAGGACTAAGCGGTCGTTGCAAATATAATCCGGTTTACAAGTCCGGAGTCGAATCCCACAGAGAACTAAGGCTTAGCTACAGCTGTTCAATATTGCTAAGAAGACAAGCTTGAATAATTCCTAACTTATAGATATTAAGATTCTTGTGTTTAACTAATTAACTAACAAATTAAAATAGTAAATTATCAACTAAAGATACTAAGGGTTAGAGACAAGATTAAGGAGGTCTAGAGTTATGATTTCCCCTATTGTCGGAATCCTTCCCGCTATGTTTTCTATAAATTCGCCTAAGTATTCTCTACCGATCGTGAGCGCTCTGACTGTCGTAACTCTTTCCCGAGTAATTACCACAATTTACTAGATATATTCTCCCGAATTACGCTATCATGCATTAAATACGGCTCCCTCGGATCGCACCAAAGGTTTCGTTATCCCTAATCCCACCTTTAAACCCTCCGTATTGATCCCTCATATACGTTAGGAGTGATGTTCAACAACTACCTAAATATGCACTCTCTCCCGAGTAATACACACTAAATAGGCACAATGTTGTCTAAGCCGCGCTTAAAGCGCGCTTAAGCCCTGAAGCAAGGCTCAAAATATGTTGAGCGCTTTGCCTCGCTTTGGGGGCGCTTTAGTATCACATCAAGGCACTAAGGCATACTTTTCCATGCCAATGAGTGTAATCCTGAAAAGGCGACACTAAACAATTGATATTTCATTTTATCATAATTCTTTTTCAATTTTTTTGTCTTTATATTTGTTATTCATGCTTATAATTATTAGTCTTGGACTACGTCTATATATTTTTACTTTTTCTCCGGTTGCGCCTTTTTTCATTAAACCCACGCTTTATTTGCGCTTTGCGCTTAAAGCCCCAATGGACCTTAGAGCTTTTTTGCACTTTTCACCTTTGATAACACTGAATAGGCACACTCAATTGAGAGCTCTTCAACCAACCACAATAATAACGTAGCTGAACAAATAGAGAAAATACTACAGCAAATCTATATTAACGTAACAGGAAAACCATCCTCCAATAGGTTCCATCAAAACCCTAGATAACAAATTAGCTATTCATAATAGTATGCATAACTACAATACTAGAATTCATAACCAATAATGAAAATAGGAAGAAGGAAGTGAAAAACTCGTAGAAGAATTCTCCGCCTTGCTCCTAGTTATTTGACCAAAATTTATCGAAACCTTTTTGATTAAATCAATTAGAGAGGATGAAGAGGTAAATCTTAGTCAAACATAATAACCTCCAAATCCATAAACAAATCGAAAAATAATGCATAAGATGAAATAGGGGCGATCAATCTTATTGATGTTTTTCATTTCTCCTTTCGTTAATCGATGGAGATAATTGTTTTACATCCTTCATGAAAGATTGCTTTGTTTTCCTCTTTGCTAAGAAAATTACAGAGGAGAGGGAAGAGAGAGAAAAAAAACCCCTCAATGGAAGATTCCCTCCCTATATATAGTTATGGAATCCTCGCTATGTTCTTGGGTCAATACATTTTCACACCACGTCCGCTTTCGTCGTTCCCTGGGTATCATTCTTTGTCGTGGCGGGTATTGTGAGTACGAAGTTTGGAGCAAACCATGTCGTCTTCCACTGTCTCGTTGCTTGGACGGGATCTCGGTTAGGCCGACCGCAGTGGTCAGATTTTGACCAATACACTGGTGTGTTCTTGCCTCTTTAGGTCGAATCCCCGGTCTCCTTAGCCTCCTTAGGTCTAAATACAAGCTTAACCTTAACTTGGGCGAGTTTGTTGAGTTTATATAGGGTTAGGATAAGTTTCCCATGCTTTACACTTTGGCCCCTGGACTTTCTTGGCATTCTCCAGATTGACCACCGCGGTCGTTTTAGACAATTCTGTTTTGCGCCTTTTTCCACCGCGTTCCAGCCGCGGCCTTACCGCGGTCGCGGTGGATTGTTGCCCATTTTTTCTTCGCCTTTTCTTGCTCATTTTCATCCGGGCTCTTCTCGATTGGCCTTGTATCTACATATTTGACCCCAAAACATTCTATATCCTCCTCCTAACTCGGAGTAGCTCCTGCAAAGCATAAAAACCTCAATTAGAGCATTTTGTTATCATTTAGCACTTAAAACATCAATAAAGTATCGTTAACTTAGAGCATAAATAGCATCTACATGGCATAATATAGGCTAATATCATGTCCCAATAATTTTTTGCAGTACCTCCTCGGTACTTCATTAATGAAGTTTCTTATCTTATTCCAAAAAAAGATGGATGTATGGTCCCATTAAGACTAGATAATATTAGAATTGTTCTCATCTATTAAAATATTAGTAGCACTCATCAAGAATAAAATGGGAGAAGGCTGCTTTTGTGATGGTTTAATATATTTTTCATAGACCTCCATATAGGGCTGGGCATAATTTGGTAAATACCGAATTACCATACCGAAACCGCAATTTTGGTATTTGGTATACGGTATTTTGGTTTAAGTTTTAAATAAAAATGGTATTATGTATGGTATTTGGTATTTTAAGATAAAATACCGAAATATCGGTACCGTACCCGAAATATATATTATATTACACAAAACATATATTATCAATTATAACAAATATAAAATATCTAAAATTTTACTTTCCTTTATTCTCAAAGTTCATCAATTAACTCTAAACAAGTAACAAGACACTTCTAATGATCAAATATTCTTTTATGTAAAATTTTCTCTATTTGGGTTGATATTTGCTAGTTTTGGACAAAATTTTTGTCAACAAACATTTTCAGTTTTGTATTTTTGAGTACTTTAATTAAGAACATTAGAGTGTATGGCTCTATGCACTAGTTAGTATTCAAACCGAATAAATCGAAGTTACCGAACCGAATAAACCGAAACCGAAAGGAGAAAAACCGAACCATACCGAACTTAATTAGGTACGGTATTGGTATAGGATTTTAAGAAACCGAATACCGAACCGAAATGTCTAAATACCGTACCATACCGACCGACGAGCACCCCTACCTCCATATGCAGTGATTGGTAGATGATCGAAGGTGTTAACTGGGATGAGGTAGACCAAATTTAGGTGGAGGGAAGTCATCCAAAAGATCTGCAATCTCTTCGAATCCATGTGGACAAGCGAAAAATAGAACATAGCTAAAGCAAAAGATCCATATATGTGATACAGACTAGTTGAGATTAAAGTTTAGTCATGTTGATAGACTTACATTAGGTTAGGTGCTTGCCTGAAAGCTTTTCATTTGCTTAGAGATTTGTATGTCAGTAAAAATGTAGTGAACCTCTACTTAATAGAAAAAAAAACAAAAAGGAAAAAATGTAGTGAACCTCTAGCGTTCGAGAATCTCTACTTTGTCTTAAAAGACAAATTATTGGGCATTGGAATAAAATAGTTCCAAATGGAGCAAAATGAATATTGAGAATTCATATAGCTACCCCAACTTAGTCTGGGATTAAGGTGTAGTTTTATTGTTATTCCTCTATTGAATCGAATCAAAATGTGGCTGTGTAAAAAAGAGTTGAAACTAGAGATCTCCTTTTGTTGCTTTATGTGTACCATGTATATGCTATCATGGTACAATTTCGTCTATCTATTAGACCAGATGTAAGCTTGTATTGCCAGCTAGAGTGGAGCATGGATGAAAATTTAAATAGATAATCCATAGTTTCAATCCGTTGTATGTATTTCTTTTTTTGGATGACCGAGAAATCCGTCTGGGGCCGATCCTTTGGACCAACCGCAGTCTTCGAAACTTGGTGGATAATGGGCCCGCCCCTCTACCCTTCTCCACTTAAATACCAGGCTTTGCTTTGCATGGTGTGGGGGCTTGAACTTGTGACCTAAGACACAAATCCACCACCCTTTGCCACTTGAGCTAGGCCCTGGGGTCTGTATTTGTTTTTTCCTGGTTAAAGTTGCATGATAGCTGATAAATAATATACGTTGGTCGAAATCTTTTGGTTTCAATGATTGTGTTTGCCTTGAAGGGGAGCCTTGGTGTAACTGGTAAAGTTGCTGCCATGTGACCATGAGGTCACGGGTTCGAGCCGTGGAAACGGATTCTTGCAGAAATGCAAGGGAAGGTTGCGTACAATAGATCCTTGTGGTCCGGTCCTTCCCCGGACCCCGCTCATAGCGAGAGCGTAGTGCACCGGGCTGCCCTTTTTCTGTTTGCCTTCAACTTCTCAGGTCACGATTGATAGTCTCTTGCTTTCGTGTGAACAATTGATGCCTCTTTACTATTTGACTTGTTTTGTCTATAAAATTTTATTTTATGGATTTCATTGACAGGTCCGCATATTGTGATGCTCCTCAGTTGCCACCTGAGAACTTAAGAGAATTCTTGCCACGTTTGATTCCAGTATGCTTCATTCTGTGTCTATCTTTTTTCATGCCAATATTGGATGATGTGTCCATTGCATGAGGAGTGTTCTTGTTTGTGATGTTTTCAATACAACCTTTTAGGTTTTGCTGTCTAACATGGTATATGCTGATGATGACGAGTCGCTTTTGGAGGCAGAGGTTTGTTGTTTGATTCACCTTTAGATGTCCCTTAAGTTTGAAAAATTTGGTATTAGTGGCTTTACCTAACCAAAATTACTTTGTTATCCTCAGGAGGATGGATCTCTCCCAGACCGTGAACAGGTTTAGTTGTCATTTCTTGTTGTTTTTCTAAGAAAAAATATGTAACAATTAACTCACTTTGGAATAATTATGCTGGAAATTATGGTGAACAGGATCTCAAGCCTCGATTTCATTCTTCACGTTTTCATGGTTCAGAGGATGGTGAAGATGACGTATGTTATTTTGTTTTTGCCATAGGGCAATATCTTTTTGATTAGTGCACGCTATTTGAGTGGCTTTTGAAAATTTGATGCTTCTTGTCTTAATTGCAGGACGAGGACATTGTAAACTTGTGGAACTTACGTAAGTGCAGTGCAGCTGCTCTAGATATTCTGTCAAATGTATTCGGGGATGACATTCTGCCGACATTGATGCCTGTGGTTCAGGTGATTGTTTATCCATGTTAAATCAAGAGCTGTTGTCTCCTGCCTTTCATGCCTCTCTTCTCTCTTTTCTTTTCTCTCTATTTCTAATAAAAAATGTAATGCAATTTGTTGCCAGATTAGGAATTCAGTGGGAACATTTATATTCGTGTTTCTTGTTTTGTGAAAAGGAAGTTCTTTTTCCTCAGATCCAATGTGAATTTGGTGTTAGTTCTAAATAAATTGGAAAAGCTGCTAAATTTAACTCGTTAATTTTCTCTTAATTAATTCATTGCTGTATTAATAGCTTTTGTGAATTCTAACTAAAACTCGGACAGTTAAACTGCAAGACCAGTATCTTTTATATGCATCTCTGTGAGTATATATATCGATCATGGTCACTATGGTGATATGTGGTTGCTACTGTGAGAAATAATACATGGGAAAAAAATATTATTGACCTATTAACAATGATAGAATGAGCCCTATGTATAATACATCTACTCCTACTACATATGGGACTAGAACCTAAGTTGCTCGGACTTCACTTTTGGTGCCGCACCCGTGTCGACACGACATGGGTGTGGGTGTGGGCGTGGGATCCGTACTGGATCTGATCAATCAATTTTGGGTACTTTGACCAAAATCGACGGAGAAATTCGAGACAGATACAATGATTTCTGAAATCAAAACAAAAGCTACGGTACAATTGAAGAAAATGGAATACCTTATATATAGAAATTTCTATGTCGGTCTTTTTAATTTTATCTCCATCTTGGATTCTCCTCTGGAAATGTAGAAGGCCTACAAGTGCCCCTTAGAAAATGCTTTTAAAAAAGGGCCGCCCAGTGCACTAAGCTCCCGCTATGCGCGGGGTCTGGGCAAGGGCCGGACCACAAAGATCTATCGTACGTAGCCTTACCCTGCATTTATGCAAGAGGCTGTTTCCACGGCTCGAACCCGTGACCTCCTGGTCACATGGCAGCAACTTTAGAAAATGTTTTTCTGTTTTCTTATTTGCTTAGCTCAAAATGGTAATGTTCTAGGGTTAATGAACTTGTAGTCCTTTCCTGCACCCTACAAGCACTATGTAAGTATTTTACATATTGTTTCATAATTCAGGCATATATTTATAACTCTATTTTAAGATATTTGAATTATTTTTAGCCGAGGGGTATAAGGACAAGATGTCTGATGAATAATTCCTTGAAAAGTCATAAACTACTGAAATTGAGAGGATAAATATTATAAGGCATTATCACTGCCAAAAATGCGAATAAAAACACCAAATTGATTTTTGTTTTCAGCACAAAAACTCTAGAATATAGAAAACAACTCAGAACGATCTTTCATTAGAAAAACAGATTGAACTACAAAGAAAATAGACTCTATCAACATTACGCTGAAAGGTGGCTCGGGTATGTTTCCAAGCTGACACGACTAGCAATCTAATGTAGACAAACTAGGCACCTTCTTCTGAAGCTTGGATAAACTTGGATGCCCTAAACGTTTGCGAATTAGGTCTGGAGAATCTATAACTGGACATGCTGTGTAGGGATTGAGTGAGTAAAGGTAGTAAAGGCTTACACCCTATGCCAATCGTCTGTCCCGTACTGCGATCCTGCATAATAAAAAATCATCAATAAAATATATACCACACAATGGAGGGCACGAGTCAAACGATTGGCAGATGCAAGATTAAAAGGGCAGCCAGTGTCGTAAAGAACGGAATCTAGAGTGACAAAAGATTGGGGTAGCTTATCCAATTCCTATTGCTTTAGTTTGGAACCAATTGACTAAAGTAACGGCGGGAAGAGAGTGTGAATACACAATATTCGATAAAAGGGCAGCCAATGTCGTAAAGAACGGAATCTAGAGTGACAAAAGATTGGGTTAGCTTATCCAATTCCTATTGCTTTAGTTTGGAACCAATTGACTAAAGTAACGGCGGGAAGAGAGTGTGAATACACAATATTCGATAAAAGTCATTTATTACCATAGATATGATCAGAAGCGCCCGAGTCCATGACCGACGGTCCAAGAGTATATACCGAAAACAACAAGCAAAAGAATTACCAGCAACAAAAGTGTTAGTCTGAAAAACTGAGGCTACTTGTGAAGATGTCTGCTTACTTGCTAGATACCAAAGGAACTCATTATATTCCCTTTTAGATAAAGAAAATCCCTGGTTACCCGTAGTCTTGGTTTGAGCAACATAAGCATTTTTGGGTTGTCGACCATGTAAGAATAACACACTTCACGAATGTGTCCAAGTTTATTACAATAAGAACACTTGGGTCGAGATATTCCAAAACGACCTCTTTCTCGTCTATTCTCCATAGTTTGAGATGCCTGATTTTCCACTCTCTGGAATGCGAGAACAGAGGAGTCAAGTGTCTGTGATGAGATCACTGGGTGACTGGATGCTGCAGCAAGGGTAAGTAATTGAGAGAATAATTCATCAACTGTAGGGACAGTTGAACTAGCCAAGATCTGGTCACATACTGAATCAAGATCATTTGGAAGTCCAGCGAGTGTAAGAATTGGAAACACCTTCTGTTGTTGCTCTTGTTGCTTTTCAATACTAGCAGAAACTGACATCAACTTCTCAAATTCTTCCATGACTGCCTATACTTGTCCCAAATAAGTACACATATCCAATTCCTGTTTCTTCAAGCTTGTCATTCGTGATATCAAATCGTAGAAACGAGATATGTCATATATTGGTGTATAAAGTACGAGCCTTTTCCCAAACTAAATGACATGCCTGGAATGGACGAAACAAAGGGATCAACTTGGAATCAATAGATTGCCATAGGATACTACATACTTGAGCATCAATCTTTTCCCACTATGCTTTGGCCTTTTCATCTCCCTCACTAGCCTTTTTGGTTTAGTGATCTTGAACACCTTGACCCTTGCACCACAGTTCAACAGAGGAAGCCCAAGCTAAATTGTTTGAACTTCCCATTAACGGCTCTGAAGTAATCATGAAGCTTGAATTTTGAGAGCCTGTGTTTTTAGAACCAAATATATCAAATCCCAAAGACATAGTTGGGTTGGAGAGAGGTCTTGAAATAAATAATAAAATTAGTCAACTGTATCTTGCTGAAACAAGGAAGGAAACACTGTTTTTGCGGAAAAAATCACTGTAGCTGCCGGGAAAAATTGAAAGTGATCGGAATAGTAAGAAAAGATTATGCGTAGGCTCGAAATTACTAGGCGATCAAACTGTCCAAAAGAATTTTTTTCAAAATCTAGCGGGAACAGGCCTCGCGCCGGCCATGGGACAGATGTGCCGCCGGTAGCGCGTGGGAGGGTCTTTGCCGGAGAATTGCACAACACCAAGGAAAAAGGAGGAAACGCAACTCAGCCCTGAAAAGGTCGCCGGAATTGAAGCACGGGAAAAAATATTATTGACTTATTAACCGTGATACAATGAGCCTTATATATAATACATCTACTCCTACTACATATAGGACTAGGACTAATTACACACATACATATTATAATAGCTACCAATGCAATAGCTGAATTCTTCACTAATAAGCAATAACTTAACCAGTGAATCAATACGAAGGCGAATAAATAGAATGTATTGTCTTGCAAGAAACTATGTTAAAAGTTGAGAGGAAACAGGAGATACAATATAAATGGTGCTAACTTTTGATTCTTTTGATTGAACGAAAAAAACTCTTGTTTCTTTTGTTGTTTGGTTTAGTAGCAAGTCATTAATGGATCTAATGTTTAGAAATTGTTGTATCGGGACAGGCTAAATTGTCTGCTACAGGAGATGAAGCTTGGAAGGAAAGGGAAGCAGCAGTATTAGCTCTTGGTGCCATAGGTGAAGGCTGCATAACTGGACTCTTTCCTCATTTGTCAGAGGTAATCCTATCACTTGCTAGCTCCTTCATATCGATTGGCCATGTTTGAACGAGTCTCTTTGAAAATCATGAACGCTTATCATTTTGCGGCCACCTCCTTATGTCTTTCTTTGCCAATTTGACTTTGATTGAGAATCCTGGTTTATTTGTGGGAAGTGATTTAACTCCATGGATGCCACCAAATGACATGTTGGGGCATGTCGACATATTTGAAATATCTTCTCTTCTGGAAGAAAATAACTTCTTTTTTCCCCCCAATTCAGATTATTACGTTTCTCATCCCGCTTTTAGACGACAAGTTTCCTTTAATACGAAGCATCTCTTGTTGGACTCTATCACGCTTCAGCAAATATATTGTTCAGGTTGGTGATCACTGCCCTATTTATCTTCAATCTGTTTATCGTGATTGTGAGTATACTAGTCTTTGGTAGAATTTGTACCATTCCCATCCCAACCCTTACTGGATCAAATTTGTTAAGATGCTGGGTTATTTTCTCTATTTGGGATATAGTAGTGTTAACCACAAGCAGGGGTACATTTGATATGGTGTCCTTGAGCAATCAAGGTTTGGCAGATGAGTGATGCCATTCTGTAAGATGGGAAAGAGTTGTGGCCTTGTGCCGACAATTTTTGGTGGAAGCAGGAGATGCTGCTTATGTCACTGAGATACATCAATAGGGGTGCAGTTACTGGTTCTTGGTCTTAATGTTACTACTGTGGTGATTCCTCTATGAATTGGTCAAATATGGTCATTGCATGCTTGTCTAACATGGTGGTCCTGAATCAATTGTTAAATTAAGTTCCTAAATTAGTTACAAATTAAAAGTAGCTGGTTTCTTAATTCTTGTTTCTTTCCGTAGTTATCAAATAGTGATGTACATTTCCATTTGTTGTGATATCGACTTGGTGAATTGCTTCTCAAACAAAATAATGAATTGCTTAAAAAAAAAAAAAGAGAAAAAAAAGAAAGAAGAAATATTGACTTGGTCAATTTGGCTTGCACCACTTACCCATCTTGTCTGACCATCATAAGTTTAAGTGAGCTATTTGAGTTATTTCTTTCAGTACCCTTTTTGGTAACTAAACATTCTTGTTCCAAAATGATTTTGTTGTCATTAGGTAGTGTTCCAGTTTTCCGCCATTTAATTTACTTTCTTTCAGGTGACGGATCATCAAGAAGGACGTGAACAATTCAACAAAATTCTAATGGGTATTCTGCGAAGAGTATTAGATGATAATAAACGAGTGCAAGAGGCTGCTTGTTCAGCTTTTGCTACCCTTGAAGAGGTATTAAAGCTAAAGCTGCTTATAGCTTAATGTTTTCTTAAAATTTAGGCCAAATACATAGGGGGCCCTTTAAAGTTGCACAATTTTCATTTAGGCACCTTAACTAGGGGTTGCTCAGAGACACTCCGACATGCTCCAAAGTGTGCCAATTAAACACAAAATATTGATATGGCAAAATAAGTGGTCCAAACTTTCCTTAAGCGCATGAACTGATCCTAATAACCCCCCCCCCCCCCCCCTTCTTTCCAAACAAATTTTCGTTTCTTTTCTTTCTCCTTCATCTTCGCCGCCACCACCTATCTCCCACCAGATTTTCTCCTTCCTGGTTTTCTTAAGACTCATTCCATTCCCAACGATGATAAATTCATTAGTTCACTTTAAAGATACAATCTAAGATTTCAAATCTCATATATTTTGACTAATATAAAACACTGTTTCTTCCGGCAAGGAGAGCCCGGCTCGAGTTTTTGCAGACAAAAGAGTAGAGTTAAGTAAGGGTTAAAGTTTCTGACCTCAATCAAGCAATTTCAACAGCAAATAGACATCAACCTAGTTGGGTTAAGGATTCAGAAAATAGCCACAAAACCAATTCAAGAAAATATAAAGAAGCCCAGTAAGAAAAACACAGAATTCCACCTACCCAAAAATCAAAATCGAGTCTTCACCTCAAAATCAAGCAATTCAACAAAAAGTAAATAAGTGAGACCAGAAATCAAAATTTATCCAGGAAGCTATTTCTTCAGCTCAGCAAATTGTTAGCACTTCTTATGTGAAGATTTCTTGGGGTTACAATACTTCCGGTGTTCTTTATAGAGTTCTTCCATTTGGGTCCTTGAACAAGTTCAGAAAACTCCTTCAATTCCTTCATTTTTTTCACCAGCCATGATTCTTTCTTTATCACCTTTTTCTTACAGCAAAAGAATTTGCTTCGTTTTCTTGTGTTTGACTCCCACTAAGAACAGAGAAATAAGGTCTTTTACCCTAGTGACTATTATGATGGAGAATAAGTTGGCGAAGTAAGTTTCGTCGCCGGAATCCTAGTCATTAGTAAAGTGGGGGCTTTTCATTGAAATGGATGAATTTTTAGTTTTAATCCAAGTTGGTATTGCGTGGACTCAAAAAGACACGTGTAGATTTTTATTTCTTTGCTTTTACACATCGAAAGCATTCGTTAACGTGCACCTGAGTTTTTTTGGGACTTAAAATTTTGTGTTTAATCGGCACACTTTGGAACATGCTGAAGTGTCTAATAGGAACAAACCCTAGTTAAGGTGCCTAAATGAAAATTTGTGGCAGCATTAAGGGGCCCCATATGCATTTGGTCTAAAATTTATACCATAATAATGTTTTGATGATTGCAGGATGCTGCGGAAGAGTTGGCACCATGCTTGGATATCATTTTGCAGCACCTGATGTGTGCATTTAAAAAATACCAGGTGCTTATGTCCTATCTCATTATGACTAAATTGTCATTTCAGTCTCCGGATAGTGTCTGACATCTTTGTGGTGTCAATAGAGACGGAACCTTAGAATTGTTTATGATGCCATTGGAACATTGGCGGATGCTGTTGGAGAGGAGCTAAATCAGGTATAACTAATATGCTACCTCGTGTTTGTGTTTTCTTACCTTTTGAAATGTTAGTGTTTCTCTTGTTTCATGATCACAAGTTCTTCTCCATAAAGCTTTTGCATACAGAAATTTGGTAGGATTGTGATAGTTTATTGTTCCTTATTAATTGTTCATTCGGTGGTAATTACAGCCCAGGTACCTTGAGATTTTAATGCCCCCATTAATTGAGAAGTGGCAGCAACTTCCAAATTCAGACAAAGATCTTTTTCCACTGCTGGAGTGTTTTACCTCGATAGCTCAGGTAGTTGTTACTGCTTTACGGACCTTTAACTTTATCGAGTCAATGTAGTACATTTTATGGTTAATTTCTCCTTGTGAGCTGATATATCAACAACAACAACAACCCAGTGTAATCCCACAAGTGGGTTCAGATATATCAGTGATAGATAATATAAAACCGTCTAGTTTGTGGTCTCTTTTAACTTGATAGTAATTACAGTGGACATGAAATTTGGGGTAATTACCCCAGGAGAATCAGAGATTCAGGAAAATGAAGTTCGAGCCACAACTTGTTTATGTGACTTGTGTATAATGTACAAATTACTTGAGTATTTTCCTCTGGTATAATTTTTAAGAATTTTTTTAGTTTTTTTTGTTTTGTTTTTTTACCTCAATCCTTGGCTTAATCCAAGATTTAACTTAAAGCTAGAACACCCATGGTGGGTGGCTCGGTTGCACAAGGGCAGAGTGGTGATTCAATTGGCAATGCTAACCCACCCATGGTGGGTAGCTCGATCACCAATGGCAGTCTTCGTGTTAATCTTTGATTTTAAAGCCAGCGCAACCCAAATGGCTGTTTGAAACTCCCATGGTGGGTGGTATTAGTAATCTTTAAGAAAGTTATGCTCTCCATTTAACAGTTTTTCCATTGTTTGAAGTTTGAACTATATGGCTGCTTGTTGCCCTTACATTATACGAATCCATGGCTTGAAGTTTTCCATGCAGATTTAGATGGATATTTGAATTTAAGAGTTTGGTTTATGGAACTTATGATTTTCTGGTTTGTGCCTGAGTTGCTACTTGTGGGATATGTTGAATTGAGGCATTTGGATTTAGAAACATTGTTCCCATGGAGTACTACCTGTCTGATCTGTGTTTTGAGTATTCCTGTGGGATAGTTGAGTTTGAGACATTAGGTTCATTCAAGGGCTCCTTGAGCATCAAGAGAACGCACTGCTGTAAAAACTGTATTTGCCAACATATAGGACATTAACTCTCGTGGCGCGACGGGATTACATAACTGCCTCTCTTGGATACGTAGCATGCATTTGGTCTTGATGCTCCTTGCTTTTGTCTCTTGGGTTAATATTTGGTGGATTAGCTGTTATGATGCTTTCCTTTCACAAGTTTCAACCTAATAGAAGTTGTTTAATGTGTTCTTTTTTTAGGGTAATCTTTTTAATTGTAAGTCATTGAATAGTGAAGTATGGTAGGTCACTGATAGTGAATCTACTATGCCTCTGAGTCCCATTTGCCTCTTAAGCTGCGGAGAATTATTAGAAGCACTTCTTTAAGCCTTATCCTCCTTTCATCCTATGTATGCTTCAGAGTGGCCTTTAGTATTTTATTGTTTGGGCGTTTTAGATACTTCACCAGTGTAGAGAGAAGAAAGGGGAACATTACTTAAAGAATCTAATTGATAAAGTTTGAACACATTTTAAAGATAATTCTGCGCCTAGGTGGTAGGATGTTCATCAATCTAAGGACTCTAATAAGGTAGTATAGGTACTAAGTTGCTCGGACTCGGGTGCGGGTATCCGATACGGGGATGGATTCGAGTATCGGATTCGGCAAAATCTAAAATTTAAGATTCGGGGGTGCGGATTCGAATATGGATACGGGTGCGGAGATTTGGCTAATAAAAATAGAGCTATAAAACTATTGTATATTTTGAGAGATATTCTGTGAAAAACTTACATGAATATTGAATTTCATTCTCCAAGATGGACATTATTCTTTCATTCTCCTAAATCTGTTTTATTTTTGATTTTGAGAAATCAAAATCTCAATTTTTCTCCCAAATTTGTCGATGGACTCCGGTCAAAGTGTCCGAAGTCAGTTGACCGAATCCGGGACGTATCCCGCTCCCGCTCCCGTCCCGTCTCGTATCGGGATGGGGACGACACCAAAATCGAAGAGTCCGCGCAACTTAGTATAGGTATACATTATAGTCACCAGAAATCTTAACTTCTCAGTGTTCAGCAATAGTTGAGTGCTGAATCCTAACCAGACTTGCTAAATTTCACACAGTGACATTTGCTTTAATTTATTATGTGAGTAGCACTGAATGTAGCTTTGGCAGACTTTTTTAAAAAGGTGTTGATGGAAGTAATCTGCTATGGAATGCTATGGTATAGATAATACATTTTTCTTCTTTCAGGCTTTGGGTACTGGATTTGCACCATTTGCTCAGCCCGTGTTTCAGAGGTGCATAACCATCATTCAGTCACAACAATTGGCAAAGGTTTTTCTTGATATGATGTCTTAGTTGCTTTTTAAGGCTCTGTTTTTTTCTTTTATTTCATCCCGTGATAACCATTAGCCATTGCTTCATAGCAAAGGCAAGTTTCTTAGCACTAATGGTGAGTTGCCGTTAGAACTGTTTCTGTTTAATGGTCCAATTCACGCAGCCTCTCCTGCATGCATGAAAACATGGACAAAGACGCACTGGGAGGGGGGGGGGGGGGAGTATTGTAACTGTGATCTCCATATTCTCGTGTTTGTTTCTTTTACTCTCTGGGCTTTCTAAGTTTCCTGGAACTTTGTCGTCCTCTTCGGAGTTCTGTGTTTGGTTTAGGATTGAACGTTTTGTTGCATTAACAGTTGGGTTTAGCCTTTCTTTTCAAGGTCAGAGGGTAGCCATGCTTCTTTCAAGTGTTTGCTAAGCAATTTGCTTATATTTTGTTTTATGAGATATTCTCTCTTCACTTTTTAAATTCCAATTGCAGGTTGATCCTGTTTCAGCTGGTTTTCAATATGATAGGGAATTCATTGTTTGTTCTTTAGACCTGCTCTCTGGACTTGCTGAAGGTCTTGGTAGTAGTATAGAAAGCCTGGTAATTCCTTTTCCTTCTAAACTGACTATAGATGTTTTTCTGTGTGTTTTATTGTTGCTGGTTGTTATCACAAATTATTGGAGGTGAGAGGAAGGGACTCTAAAGTTCACAAAGAGGGTTTACGTGAAGCCTTTGAGTTTGAAGTTGCTTTGTTATTTACGCAGGATTATTATTTGTTAAACTGAGGTGTATCTGGTGTAGTGGCTATTTTGATCAATGTGTATGTTTGGGAAAAAATATATCAGGGTATTGTTTAATGAACAGCTCTTTTGATGCCAACTCTGATTAAGCATTTGATGCTATCTTCTTTCCATTCATAATACATGCCAATGTTGATCTTTGACACTTCTGTACTGTCAGCATTTAGATAATAAGCGGCCTGGACATTTTAATTATGCTCAATTAGGAATAACTTTGCAGGTTTCACAAAGTAATTTAAGGGATTTGCTTCTGCAATGTTGCTTTGATGATGCTCCAGATGTTCGGCAGAGTGCCTTTGCATTGCTTGGTGACCTTGCAAAGGTAAGTTATTGTAATTCACCAATACCGATTATAGGGTGGTTACATTGAATTTCAATGACAACTCGACTGCTTTGGAAATGCAGTCTTGCATTTTAATTCACTGCTATCTTTGGTGATTGCAAGCAGGTTTGTCCTGTTCATTTGCATCCTCGTTTGGCCGAATTTCTTGATGCTGCTGCTAAGCAACTGGTGTGTGTAATATTTATATGTCGATCTTTGATTAGTTCTCAACATTTCAGTTTCTTGTATTTTATCTATGGTATGCTTGTACAGAACACTTCCAAGCCAGTTGAGAAGGAAACGATTTCTGTGGTCAACAATGCATGCTGGGCAATTGGAGAATTAGCTATCAAGGTAAGTTTCGGCAAATTGCATTGCTTCCTAAGGTCATCTGACCTAGATAAGCTTAAGTTATGAATGTAAATAGAATGTGAGTTATACTTGAACACAAGAGAATGTTATCTGTTTGAGTTTTTGAAAATTTAGGGATGCCAATGGGGTAGCGTGAAGCCTTAGTGGGGCGAGGTGGGACCGGAAAGGTTTTTTTTAGGGGGGGGGGGTATCAAAACTTTTTATCTCTCTCTCTTTTTATTTTTTATTTTTTTTATTTTCAATTTATGAACTTCTAATTTCCCATCTTTCTCAATTTCCATTTAGGACATCTTTATTAGTTACATATAAATTTTCTTTTCAAAAATTTCAGCTTCATTTAATAGTTCTCCAATAGAGACTGGCTTATTACTAAAGGAGGTCTCTCCGATACAGAATGTACAGTTATGAGTTGTTCTGCAATGTAGACTAACACATGTTTACTGAAAGCCTAAAACATTTCAACTGATCTCATTGTTGAGCAACACATATGGATCAGAGTATTTCTACATTTATCAAAGTAACTGACAATTATTGATGATCTAGGGGTTACCATCAGAGGAGTTAAGTCACACTTAATCGTTCTCTTTAAATTCGTTAATAGGTAAATTGTTTGAGAAAATCGTTTTCTCCAACTTCCATATTCTTATTGTTAAAAATTAGACAATTTCTGGCATCACTTTTTGACTATTATTATTAGTTAGTAAACCACCGCATAACATACTTCTCCAAAAAGGAAAAAAATAAAATAAAGAAAAGGGTTGAAAACTATAATGATGAAACAAGTATCAAAAACCAATGAAGGGCGGCCTAATGCACAAAGCATCCCGTGTTCACGCAAGATCTGGGGAAGGGTCGCACCCCAAGGGGTGTAATGTAGGTAGCCTACCTTGACGCAAGCATCAGGGGATGATTTCACGACTCAAACCCGTGGCCTGTAGGTCACATGGAGACAACTTTATCTTTGCTCCAAAGGTCCCCTTCTAAAAAAACAATGAAAAGAAAAAAAAATAGTATGGAAAGAGAAGATAATCTAACATAATGGGCCGAAAAGGGGGGACGATGCTCTGGGTGTAAATAGGAAAAAGAGTTAAGGGGAGCAGCTGAGCAGGGTACGGCAACATTATGGAGGAAGGTCTCGCCCAACGCTTTCGCTCTGCGCCGTTACAATACAACAACAATAGAAGCCATGCAAAAGAAGCAGTAACAACAATAAAATAATAAGATAATCGAAGAGAAAGAAACAAGTAGCGATAGAAATCTAAGAATAAGAAAATACGAGAATAGGTACTAATACTACTGGTATGGAAAAGAAGAATGCTCAATTACCTACTAACCTCCTACCCTAATTCTCGACCTCCACACCCTCCTATCCAGGGTCATGTCCTTAGTAAGCTGACAATGTGCAATGTCCTGCCTAATCACCTCTCCTCAATACTTCTTCGGCCTATCTCTACCTCTCCTAAGACCCACCATGGCTAACCTCTCTCTAACCTCCGCATTGGAGCATCTGGGTCTTTCCTCTTTACATGCCCGAACCATCTTAGCCTCGCTTTCTGCATCTTGTCCACCACGGAGGTCACTCCCATCCTATCCCGAATATCTTCATTTGTGATCCTATCTCTCCTAGTATGACCACACATCTATCTCAGTATCCTCATTTCTGCCACTTTCATCTTCTGGACATGAGAATTCATGACTGGCCAACACTTTGCCCCATACAACATAGTCGGTCTAACAACCACTCTGTAAAACTTACCTTTAAGTCTTGGTGCCAGTGCGCCTTTATAATCCCTACTTTTGAAATGCGCTTGTATTACATAATTCTGCAACACAAGGTGCTGTTTGGATTTACTAGTGCTGCTACTGCTTTTTCTCTAGCATTTTGGTTTCTCACAAATGACAATGAGTATGAAGTAGTTTATGTATCTTTGGCTGCAACTATTCTGATTTGACTATAATTGCACTCCCTGTTTAACCCCACATTTTTAACTTGAACTTTCCTGTATATTTTTTTTGAATCGCTTAGAATTTGATCATATATGGGATGTCATAATTTCAGGTTCCCAAGGAGATATCTGCAATAGTCTTGACTGTAGTATCATGCTTAGTGCCAATTCTTCAATATGCTGAGGTAATTATCTGTTTTAGCTGTTGAACATTTTTGGTTTCTAAATGATATTAATTTAGTCATATACATGACTCAGTTGATGTGATTGATCAAAATTACTTGTGTTTTTTTGAGATGATAACACAAAGTTATTTGTTTTTGTGCCCACCTTTTGTTGTGGATTGTCATTCTCATTGAATATATTTATGGTGCCAAGGGGCTCAACAAGTCACTGATAGAAAACAGTGCTATCACCCTTGGAAGACTTGCATGGGTTTGTCCAGAGCTTGTATCACCCCATATGGAACATTTCATGCAAGCTTGGTGTATTGCTCTGTCAATGTAAGTGACTTCAACCTGCTCTTCTTCTAGCTTTCCCTACGCGCTGAAGTATAAAACTGTCATATTTTCACACAAAAGAGAGATTCTATAAACAACGTTATGATTTATTTATTAACTAATAAACAATGTTTTACCAATGTACTCTAACCCATTAAAGGCACTTGTTGAATGAGAGTGAATATGGATATAGTCGAATGAGAGTAAACGCATTTAAAGGCAGTTATTGGAAGTAAAGTAGGCGTTGATTCCCCAAAATACACCAGTGAAAAAAATCTGCTTCATTGTTCCAAGTCCAAGATAATATGATTTGGATCAAATTGAATGATTTGGATGATTGAGAGCTCTTAGTAAAATGTGAGAATGTATTCTTCAAAGCTGCTACTGCGTTTCTTTGTATTTTTTATACCTTACCAGGAATAAATTCACTTATGGAGGTCGAAGACCAGGTGGTTTGATTGTTTTGGTTTTTTCCTTTTCTAAGTTTCGTTGAATTTTAAAAGATGAAAGTGTAAGGTGAAAGAAGTCGTTGAACTGGATGGTGTTATGTATAAGTTTTAACATTCTGAAAATTATTACCAGGTCCTGCTTTTTAATTCATGAAAGCAATAGTTAGTGTCTGATTCTTTGAGTAAAGCATCCATTACTGTTTCTTCCACTGCAATCCTAGTCGTTGTTGTGTTAGTCATGGTTTTCAACATTGAACATTGATGTGCCATCTGGGTTCAGCTTATCCCAATATAAAAAGTGCCTCTGTCTGATAACCTACAATTGGTGGTCATTTTGTGGCAGGATACGTGATGATATTGAAAAGGAGGAGGCTTTTCGCGGTTTATGTGCAGTGGTATTTTCTGTCTTTTCCTATTTTACCCATTGGTTCAGGTCATAATGAACTTGATATTGGTATATGAATAAGTTTTTTTCGTTTTAGGAACAGAAAAATTTGATTATTCAACTTCACATGCTGGATTTGATTGACAAAACTGAATCCTGAAGTTCATTAAGTTAAACTTGTGTTTCCTCTTAACTTGATCATTCATACATGGCAGTCACCTAAAAGGACCTATCTACTGCACCGCCTATATGCTCATTAACTCTGAAAAAGGCAGACTAGATATGTAAAATGGAAATTTGTACTAGAAGTGCTCTATGAGTTGTATTATCAACAAAAGATGTCAAGACAGAAACGCTTTATCATTTCTATAATCAGAAAATGTCTATGCAAAGATGCGCTGGCATTTGCAAAACCAACGAATGGCAGATCTCAAGCTATGGTGTTATATAAAATTAATATGATTCTTCTACAAAAACAAGCAACCCTAACTTGCACACGGTGACAAGTTTTGTTGTTAACTACTCCAGAACTTGGTTCTTTTGATTGTTGCAGGTTAAGGCCAATCCAGCTGGTGCTTTGAATTCACTTGTCTTCATGTGCAAAGCCATTGCAAGTTGGCATGTAAGTACTCCGTTTTCAATGCTGTATTCTGACAGTGGAAAGAAATTTGGAGATTATTTTGTATTGGTCTTGATGTTATGATCCCTTTTCAGGAAATAAAAAGTGAAGATCTACACAATGAAATCTGCCAGGTTTTGCATGGATATAAGCAAGTAAGGGCTTCTGCAGTTCTTTCCTGTCATCATTAGAACTTTACTTTACATGATATCATCATTTCGAAGTTGTTTACAACTTGCTTCTATAGTTTATCTGCGACCTTTTAGATCACTAGTTGAGCAACTGAGCTTGATAAAGTTGATTTTTTATTGCTTGCACGCTTTTTCTATCTTTGTGTTGTTTGACCTATGGTTTGATAATGCATGGAGAAAATGAAATGGAGGGAAGAGGCTCCTTTGTGGGGTTTGGGGGGGGGGGGGGAGAATCAGTAGTTGAATTCTTTGTTAGTCGTTTGCGTGCAGTGGAAAGATTGCTTCCATACAAAGATATCTAATGCATTATTCTGGGATTGGTCAGATGCTCAAGAATGGTGCTTGGGAACAGTGCATGTCTGCCTTGGAGCCCTCTGTGAAGGGCAAGCTGTTAAAGTATCAAGTATAAAAAGTATAATGTGTCCAATGCTAGTGCTCATCGCTCCTGTGTTGCTTCAGAGCCACGCATCTCTCCGATTTATATTGGTGCCAGTTTACCATTGTCTGATTGTTGTTGAAGTTGAACAATGCATGTTGGAGCAAGCACGAGTTTGCAGTTGAATTGTCATCCTGGAGAAATATGCTCTTTGAAGATTGAATCTTGCTATACTTCTCCAAATTTCAGGTGAGCTGGTTTGTCTGCATAGCTGTTGTTTGGAGCAGAGAAGCAAAGGTTTGAGACATCTACTGTGCAGGTTGCTTTATGACATCCATATTTTAGCTTCTGTCTGGGTCCTGAAAAGGCATGATGGCATTTGTCTTGGGTAGTTAGGTTTCACCATTTGCTTCTTGGGTCTAGAAGTAATTTTTCTTCATTTTAAAGTTTTCTTGGTAAGGTTCCATTGGGTTGGATTAATTCAGCACCCACGACAGCTAGGTGTCTCATACTTTAATGATCTACCTTTTCTTTTAGGAGGTTACGAATTGGTGGTCTGTTAGGAGGGAATGGGATATTGTTTAGTTAGATGGGTGACGAGAGAGCAATAATAGTTAGATGGGTGATGAGGTTCGAATTGTGCCTATTCAAAAAGGTAAAATGTGCATCTTTTTATCCTGCCATAATTTTTGTCACCTTTTATAGTAATTGAAATTTTGACAGTCATAGAGTTGTGACGTGATGCCTAAAGTGTATGTTGTATGTAGAGTGCTGTACTGCTGTATCATAATTCTGAGTGTAAAGTTCCATTTGTACTTTTGTCCAGCAGTTGTTTCTGCACCTATTCAAAAAGGAAGTAATTTCTTTTCTTGAAGTATGTTTGACATTCTTTCTTATATGATCAGCTTTCATGGGGCGGTACATTAAGAATTTCCATGGTTATTAGATTTAGCCAATACTTGGGGAGTTATTGACTTTGGTACAAATGTATGTGGATATTTTGTTTTCATTTGGATGTTTCGGTGAATGACGTGTCTGATGTGCTCGCTGATGGTAATGGCCAATAGTCACATAGTTAGCAATGTTTATTAACATTTCGAATATAAATCTAAGAGTGATGCAATGCAGTAGATGTTTCTGCACCGTAGGTTCTTTTGAACTACCGGAGACTGTTTTCTTGAATAGGAAAGTCGCACTTGCTTTTGTTTTATTTTTTTGGGATCTATTTTTGGATCTTACTATTCTTTCCCATAGTTGGTTTATTATCCTCATTTCTTCTGCGTCTGTAGCTTCTCGAGTTTCTAGCTGTATAAGGCACTTGGACCGACAGAGGACGGTTGAAGCCCTTCCAGCATTCCCTTTCATATTTTCTGTCAGTTGAACACTTCTTGCGACGCTGCATTAGTTTCTTCTCCACCCTTCTACATGACCTGGAAATACCTTCTCCATTACATCTATGCCATGTTGCGCAGTATTTTTCATTATCCATGCCTATTATGCGCATTCAGCATCTAAAATCAGAACACTAGGAGACTATCCCCTGCATTTGTTACTCCAACCAAACTGCAGAGCAACATAGCGAGTGGTAACGTTATTTTTTAAATGGATCTTTATTATCATACAGTGTAGTAATTTATTCTTTCTATACACAATTAGAAGGAATCATTTATTTTGCCTCTGAGTTCCTACTGCTGACATACTATAATTGTGGTTCACAGAGGAAGGATTAGTTCCTTACATAGCTGGAACCTGCAGTATTTACCAGTTCTTGCAATTGTTTTGTAAGCAGCATGCAATTTCTCACAGGTCAGTGTGTCCAAGTTGCCACTAATGACAAGTTCACCAAGCTCAGGCTCTTTCACAAATTGAGATATACAATAGGCAACTGCATGTCGTAAACTTGCATTCCTTAAGGCTTAGTGCGTAAGGAGACGGGAACTAAGAAAAGCTTGTACTCTTCTTACGTTGGTCAGAAACCGTAGCAGACAACGTTAGACAACGGGTGATAGTAATTGTCTTTGAGTGTCTTTTTCAGAGTTCTAAAGTTGGAAACCTTGTGACTCTTTAGATCCCTGATGTGAAGGTGATTCCTGTGGATCAGTGAGAGTGCGAGTGTAACAACAGCAAGAAACGAGAGAAAGTTCAGACAAGACACGAGTTCACACGACTAAACAGTACACTTGTCCTGCTAAAGACCAATTTTCGTCTCTGCGCATGGACCCCACTTCACTGCACATAAGTCACCTAAAAACATCATTCTACCTCATTTCTTCCATCTTCTTAGCTTTTCACTAGCAAAATTACCCTTCTCCTAAAGTTCAGCAGTAGCTCAGTTGCATACAGAATTAGTACCCCTCTTCGATCGGTAGACAAAGCCAGCTAGCTGGAACATTTTTTATTAGTCCTTTGGAAATATGGAAACTACTTTAATAAAGTCATTCTCTGATTTTCGCTGCGACGGCTTCCATAATAAGGCCAGTGTGCAATTCGAATTCTCGGACATAGAGATGGATACTCTTCAATCACTGGCCTACATCAGCCTTAAGGACATCATGCCGGAATCACCGCCGTCGATTATATCACCAATGATTAATCGCAAGGAAAGCTGGAGAGAGATTCCGATGAAGGACCCGCTCTTACAGCAGGCGGCGTGGGCATATCTACAGCCAATCGGAATTCCGGAGGCCGACCGGAGTTTGTTGAACAAAGTCAAAGAGAAGTGCTTTTGGTTGTTTGGGTGCCTCGGCGGCGCCCTTGTTGTCATTTTCAGGAGCTGGTTTTCTATGGCTGGAAAGAAGAAAAAGTTAAAAACTTGACTGATAATTACAAATTATTATGATTTTCGCAAAAGCTGTCATTTTTGAAGCTTCTTAGTTTGAAGGGTTGATAAGGGTGCTCTTTCATGCTTCATGTACATAAAATTTCTGCGTTGACTTTAATGGTTTGTATTCTCCTAATATAAGCAATGAGTTTGAATGGAATAACATGTATAATCAAGTAATTGATTTTCTTGATATATATATATATATATATATATATACTAGTTTTTCGACACGTGCGTTGCGCGTGTATGCCGAATAAAGTAATATACAGTTTTATAAATTAACAATAATAATAATATTTTTAAAAATGTATTGAGTAATTATGTAATTATACATGAAAAAATAAGATGCATGCATGTTTTGGTGAAATATAAATATGGATTCTTGTACGATGACTTGTTTATCGAGGTCAAACTGATTGAAAATCATCTTAATTATGAAGATGAACTGTGAAAATTTAATTAGATAGATATTATTTTTTACTTAATTAGATTTTATTTTAATTTTCAAATTTCAAAATATCGAATGATACATCTTTAGCTAGCAAAATAATTATGTGTACGGAGTTTCATTGATTATTTGCCTGATTTTTTCCACGACTTTCTCTTATAAGTTTGTTTCTGGAATTTAGACATCTTATTGCACAATTGTTTAAAAAAGTATAACTAAAGAAATATGAAGTTTTATCACTTAGGGATTAATTTCTGAAAGATCGTGATATATTTGTCTTTGTCCTTAAATGTGTAAATTTCTTTTCTTGAAAATTTCATTCATTTATCAAGCTTATTTGAAAAAGGTAAAATTAAACCAAAGATATTATTAAATGCTAGGATATTTTTGTGAAGTTATATATCTTCCAATTACAAATATGGTTTAATTTGATATATTCCCTCGCAAAATAAAATATATATTGAAAGCTCAGAATGAAACTTCGTAACACAAAAGATTCATTTAGAACTTTTTGCAGCTTATAATTAACTATATAATGATGATTAATTGTAAGTAATGTCTCTTAAATTTCACATAAAAAAATATTGTACAATTGATAGTAAGACCTAATATTTTCTAAAAATGTAATAAAACAAAGAAATTCAATCCATAAGGTATGGCGTTAAACATATCTCCAATTTCGTATTTTGCTGATATAAAGCCTTAAAAACCAATTTATATTAGGGAAACTTACACAAATGTTCCAAATAAATCTCAACTTACCAACCTCTAGCCATTAGTCATAGACTTACCAAAACTAGCCAACAAAAATTAAAAAACCAAATAATAGGGTTCTTTCTATCAAAGAATCACATGCAAAAATCACCATCCATATTTTTAAGCGTGATTAGCAATATTAGATACAAGACGGAAAGGAAATTTCATGGACAGGGTAGCAAATAAGGTGATGAAATACAAAAATCTATACAATATTCCAAAAATCTAAACAAAAAAGGAATTTTTTCAATGGGTATAGTTGAAATTCATTGAAAATATATAGATAAGTCTATATACAAAATTTGAGGAAGATTGGAGGTGATTTGGGCTGGTTTTATATCAAAATTCGTAATTAAATCAAGTCCAAAAAAGTCTTCTGCGACACATGTATCAAACATGTATCACGCATGTATCTCACACACAGGTATACATGGATATACATATGATACACAATTGATACAAATATGATACATATGTGATACACATATCATTTTTTTTCATGTTCAGCTTTTACTTCGAATTTTCAATTCAAACCACCTCAAAACTTCACCAAATCATCCCAAAACTGAGATTCAAGCTCCTTAAGTTGTCCCCAATCTATTCTAATAACACCCACTCAAAACAAAGCAAAAATTTGATATTTTTTTGCTACAAATAGCTAATTGGCTAATTTGGCTAATATTAGTAATATTTTTTCAATTGGCCAATTTTTGTAATGAGCTACTTATAAATGGACATTGCTGGTAATTTCCCTTTATATTATGCTTTTCCGATCGCATTTTTTGAAATGATACATCTTTTATTATTTGGGTCAATGCAATTTAATCCTTTATTATGCCATTCCAAATAATATTTTTTCTTCAATCTAAAAGGAAATATAAATATTTTGTCACAAATAAAGTATCGTAAGTACATATTATTATTATTTTGGTATAAGTAAACATTATGTACATATATGGACGCAGACATACATATACAATGGACTTTATTATTATACTTTATTTTGAGTGTATAATAGATAAGGCATGAATTATATTTTGAAGATGTCTTTATGGTAATTAGCGAGTCCATTACTTAAATGGCCACTTACCTATTCAAAATTATCTAGTAAAGTCATCTTTCGTTCGTTTGCAACAAAAAAGTAACGCTCATAATAGCACTCAGAAGGTCAGTCAACCAGATTTCTCAAACTTTTGATTGTCAAATACTGAAATACCTATTTTACCCTCTAAATTATNTGCCCGAAATCCAAAATTTCTCGAAGATAAAGGTTACCCATGACCTTAGGAACTCAAATATATGATTTTATCTTAATTCCATACTCAAAATCGTGGCTAAAATTCAAGATTATAATTTTCTAGGTTTTCCACCAAAACCCCAATTTTTATACTAATTTTCATGCCTAAATCCATGTATAATTGATATATTTAACTCAAAAGTGATAGGGATAACTTACCTTAATCATTGACGACAAAATCCTCTCTTGAATCCTCCCAAAATCGCCAAAGTCATGAAAAATGAGAGAAATGAACCCCCAATCACGATTTTAAAACAAGCCTACTACCCAGCATTTTCGCTTCAGCGGGACCCTGGCCCGCTTCAGCGGTTCCGCTTCTGCGGACGCTTGCCGCTTCTGCGGCTCCCATCCACCCTAGGCCTTCCGCTTCTGCGGTTAGCCAACTGCTTCTGCGGTTCCGCATCAGCGGATCAAGGGCCACTTCTGCGGTCCTGGCTGCCCTCGCCCTCATCCGCTTCTGCGGCTTCTTCTCCGCTTCTGCGGGGCCGCTTCTGCGGTCCCATTTCCGCAGAAGCGGAAATACCAGATACCAGATCCCTTCAGCTGTTCTTCAACTTCCAAATTTGATCCG